GGCCAAACAGAGGATACGAATGCTAGAAATTCACGGTGAGTTTGAACTATAAATTTCCTGCGATCTTAGATCTCGTTTAGACTGTTCGTCAGTCTACAACTCTGTGTTAATCGAAAAATTTAATCAACAGTACCTCGTACATAATTCAGGTTCAAACTACTGCCTACTTCATTACTTAAAGGCAAGAATAACCCAGGCGAGTTTCATAATTTCATTAGATTATTTCGTACTATATTTATGATGCGTGATAACATTTCGTAGTTGCTTTCACGTAAACTAGTCATATATTCTGTCACTGCCGTCAAGTTTTGGTCGAAATCATGTACATTTATGACTCGTTAGTCGACATACTGTGGTAAAACATATTGCATGTACACGAGCACGCTTAGTCCATGTCCCAAGTACACATGTTGTCTCACTTAATATGTCACTTAACGCTAGGTAATAAGCTCTTTGTATCCGCCTTTTACGAAATGGCCACGTTACCTAAACCCTCTAAACTTTAGTTACATTGGTGGTAACCATTTTAATTAATGTTTATTATACCCCTTGTATTTGCTAATAATTCACACGGTAAATCATGGCTCGATTTCCTTATTACACGACAGTCATTTTAATTCTATTTTCGGTTTATTTGTATGCAATACGGGCTTGAAAAATATCTAAACGTCCTCGAAAATTCTCCACGAACCCAACCATAGTTTTCGTATATATTTTTATTCACACATCGGACTGTCACGCTAATAATACTTAAACGAACGTTCAGTGCAACTGTCAGTACACGTAAGGACGATGTTATTTAGATTTGACTTTATAACACATCCAATCTATTGTAATTATTCTACGTCGATGTCGTAATTCATTTTATGAAGTATCATTTCCTCGTGGCTGTTATCTAACAGATGATTTCGGTACATCAATTGGCTGTTCAACTACTCGACGATTTACAACCTGTCCAGTTCAATTGGTGGTCTGACGACAATATCATTCGCGCGAATCATCAGTTTATGCAGTCGAGCGAATCTCATGCAAACTGAAAACGATATTGTCACCTCTATCCCAACACTGACAGCGTTTTTCACGGGTATCATTGACATGAGTCCAGAGTGACTCTTGGTTTCTTATGTTCTTTTCGATACTTTTCTGTTCACTAACCGAACAAACACGCAGCACTCACCGTTTATCATCTTTTAGAGACTTCATCGTGCCACATTTGTTGTCAATTTGTAGCCCTCAACCCTCACTGACTGCAACAGCAGTCATCAAATTTTCAGAATCTGACTACAAGTTGATTAATAGCTTCTCACAACGAAATCACGAACACTCTTCACGGTTATACTTCTGTACTTACGGTTAGTCTGTTAAATATAGATATAACTAGAATTTGACACTAATTAATAGCTGTCAACGACACTGTCCGACTTACAACTTTAAACTAATGACAGTACAAATATGGATATCGATTGATAATACACTTATCCTACTATCGCTATAGCATCATTACTCTTGCGGCAGACTTAACGTTTGTCATCGGAGGAACTGAATTACTTGTCACAGCTATATATTTCAGCGCGACTTGATAGAACAATAAAATGTTTTGTTCTTTTCATTATTTCTATGGTTAATCGCTTTACGTTTAACCAACGTCCTACTAACACATTAGGACTCGCTGTTTCCCGACCAGTTTCTGCCGCCTCCTTTCCATTTGTTTTACAGATAAGCAATACCTGGAGGATTTATAATATTCGTTTGGCACTCTTCGGCGCGCGACTGCTCCCAACATGTTTGGTACCGATTCAAACGGCCGCTGAATCTGGTGGGGGAGTATTGTAGGGCCAGTGAAATGTCACTGAGCCCTAGCCAAATCATCCGGGAGTTGGATCACTGAATGCCGAACAGATCATCGCTCCCTGCCAAGGTCATGTACAAGCAACGCGCATTAGTTAATCATACGCCATGGACTGGCCCATGCGGTAGTGGTCTTACTTTCGCTTGTATCTACTTTAACTAATATATTTCTGTAATAACGTCCTTTGTGTTGTACAGTCTTCAAAGCATCTATAGTACCTTGTTACGTCAATGGGGGTAGTCCACGTAAGGTGCTGACCACGAGGTGTGACTTCGACGTTAGTTGGTTCGTCACACTATTCACGTCTAACTCGAGTCGGCCTCCAATCATTTCGACATAGATCATCTACGTTGGTGATCTACAGTCCTAATGTATTTTGAATTTCACAAACTTTTGCTTGGGTCTTCCTGCACAGAGTGCTTGTATGTAACAGTGGTTCCCAAAAACTCTGTAGGTGATTAGGCCAACGTTAACAAAGCTAAAAAAGCCAGGTGTCACCGTCTAAGCTGAACATCCCAAGTATTGTAAGGAAATCATTTGGTGACTTTGCCGCACAGTCTACTCCCAAGAATGTCCGTCCGTTATCAAAGAGCCTGGGAATCAGAAAAGCGCTTCAACCTCCAAACAACAGGGTGCTGAACCTGAACGCACCGGAAAACCTGGGAAAATAATAACGGTTCGTGATGACTCTCTCATAATCATAACCTCAAAGGCAATCCTGACCTTTCTCTTAGTTTGCATGACAAAAATGACGGGATGCCCCGAAGAGAATTAAACAAGAAGCTTAAACTTCCTAGAATGGAGTCTTTGACTGTCACACGGATCACTCGGGGAAAGGACTCTAAGCATCAAAATCACCCGAGGCTACTTTGTGTAACACTTAAGAATGCTACCGACTTACAGTATGTCCCGTTAGCTAGTCATTTACTAAAATCCGATGGCAACGTAAGAATACTGCCCGACATACCGTATTCTGAGCGCAATCTCAACCGGAACATCTCTAAATAACGTCGTGAGAAGTTTTTCTGCGGAAGAAATTTAACGGTGCAAGGTGTACCGGGAAACACCGACCCTAGTCAAACAAACTCTGATATTGAGGAATGGAATTTCACCAAGCAATTCCTGAGGCTCAAAAACATACTGACTCAACATGTGACGAGACTAGCCAAAAGGACGGAGATTCTAAAACCCGGCTAATGAAGACAACTTTTCCATCCTTCGATGTGGCGGCTGCAACTCTGGAAGCATTTCGTGCCAACAGACGTCGGTAGCCAGCTGAAATCCACATGCACCCGGATAGGCCTTATGAAGCTAGGACCAAGCACAAAGACAAGTTGGAGCTGACCATTCCACTTTTGGACTCTCTCGATGACAAAATAAACGTGTAAAGGACATGGACTACCAACTCGGCAAGCACTATATAGTTGGGCTACCTGTTCATTCACATAAGGTTCATGCGTTTCAAATTGAAAGCGTGTACTAGCTATAAATGAACGCCGCGAGTCTTCCAAATGAAATGGATGAGCTACGTGAAATTAGCAATGCCAATAATTCTCATCTGATAGGAGTATCTGAAACTTGGATATCCTCTCAGTTTACATACCGTGAGCTAGCAATACCTGGGATGTTTTGTTTTAGCAACGACAGAAAAACAGGAATTGGGGGTGGATTAGCCTTATACTTACTTACCTGGAGGTTCACTAAGTTCACAACCAACAGTTTAACAATCTTGATGAAGCCGTATGGTGCTCTGTAAGATTGTTTACTACTTCGAGGTGTCTAGTCGGAGTCATATATAGGAAGCCCACTGCCGACATCGAGTATAACAGTCGTATGCCGGAAAGGACTATCCCACTCTACTCGTCTCGGTTTCATCCATATCCTAATTCTAAGGGACTTCAATCTCCCTAGAGTCAACTTCACGGAACATGTGTATAATGGAGGTGAAAACTCAACTGAAGCTCGGTTATTCAACCTCGTTGAGGACTAGGGATTATACGAAAATGTGAAGTCGGCAACTCGTTGGAGAAACAGTCAGACACCATCGCGCTTAGACTTTGTATTTACAAACGAAGAATTCCTAGTTGACAACCTCTCAATCCTGGCTCCCCCGGGAAAAAGCGATCACACCGTTATGGCTTTCAGTTTCGTCAACAACACTGAGCTAAGATATCCCACCAACAACTTGCGCTCAAATTTCAAACGGTTGAATTTGTCAGCTCTACAGGACTATCTACAACAGGTGGATTGGGATGTTCACCCTCAACTCGATGTGGATGCTCATTGGGACTTCTTACTGCATACGTTCATATGTGCTACAAATCATTCAGTTCCTCAAACGGTCCCCCATAGCTATCAGCAACCCACAATCATCAAGAACCGCACTCTTCGCCTGCTAAGCCGTAAAATGCACTGGTTAAAGCGTTTTCGAACTCCAAATACCTGCGGCATCTTCAGTGTAAACAATGATGTGACTCCCACGTAAGATTTTGTAGGTTAGGCAGTCACGTCATGACATATTTAGGATTTTAGGATTAGGTCAATTATTAATATTATCCTGATAACGAAGTATACCATAATTCTACACTCGCTAGGGATGCACATGTCAACTGACTTCTATGCATTATTTGCAGTGTAGTGCATACTATTTATTCCGGATGGTATTAACGATTTAATCCGGTACGCCATAGTGCCGAAAACGTTCCTACAATCTTCTGTACACACTGTCAAATGCTTCCCCATAATCAAGGAATATGATGTAAAGTTACAAATTCCATTCAATTGAATGTTCAACGAAGATCCGTAGTGTCGCGAATTGGTCTGTGCACGATCGACCCTTACGGAATCCAGCTTGTTGATCTCGGAGTACACCACGCCATATAAGAAAGGCGAGGCTTTCACCACCGACGATTTTACCGTTCTCCAAGAGCTATTTACATATAGCCGAACCCTTACTTTTGAACTACATATATCCATCATAAAAAATGGTGAGCAATTCTTACATAAGTATCTCACTTTTTGTGCGCTGATAAATAATACTCTGTCCTCGTATAATTTTTTAGTGCAAAGCATTACATTTTGGATGTTCATTCGAACGCTAATGTTTTAACATTCCGTTGCACGTTTTATTTTAAGGATACATTTTAAATTTGTACATTTCATTTAGCAACGGTGCGGATTGTATAGTGATGTGAGTTTTCTCACTTGTAACTTCTAAGAATAGTGTCAACTTGAAACTTTCTAAATGTCCGTGATGATCAATGCCTTAGTCAATTATATGCATTGTTATCGTATCATAAAAACACTCGTTTTCAATGATAGTGGGCATAACAAGAGAGTATGAACTCTCTTATGCTATTCGGTTACTCAATATACAACTTTGAACTGACCAAATGTGTTTCAGATGTGATGAATCAAATATTCGGATACTCAACAGCAGAAAACATGGTTTACAAAGTCTTGCTGTTTTCAAGCTTTTCGTTCATGGATTTTTAAGGTGCATGTTAATTAAATATGACGACATTATATTGAATCACTTACTAACCTTATTGTAAGTTTCCTTTCTACACCTTTTCAGCATATATACACGCGAAAGTCCTATTAATCCTGCTTGAAATGTTTAAGTTTCCTTTGAGGAAATAGTAACGTTCACAGCGTTGTCCAGCCCGAATAATATATGCAGTTTTCTATGTACTATAAAGAAGTGATGATGTACTTTAACTCAAACAAGTTTGCTAAAGTTGTAACGCCTAGACATCACGACAATAATTGAAGGATTCTGTATCTTCAAATCATAAGTTCTTATAAATACATATAGAACTCAAATAGATACAAATTCAGATTCAGATTTGTGTAGTAAGGACAGAAGGCCTACGGCCTGTGTTATTCCTTTTCTAGTATGCTTCTGTGAGTGTCCAGTCTTCTCTTGAAAGAGTCAATTGAAGGTGCGGATACCACTGCTTCAGGCAGCAGGTTCCAAGTATTGATGACTCGGTGTGAAAACCTGTATGCCACGGGTATTTTGTTCGTTCTTGGCTTTTCTACTCGCCTGCTATGTCCTCTGAGGTGTCCCGATCTAGTGGGAAGAAAGAGAGAATAAGTTAGGTCCGAAATCATTTCTTAGTATTCTGTACATCAATATGAGATCTCCCCTTAGTCTGCGATAGGACAGAGTAAAGAGGTTCAGTTTTTCAAGCCGCTCTTTATGTGATAACCCCCGGAGTTCCGGAATTGCACGAGTAGCTGCCCTCTGTACCTTTTCTAGTATGTCTGAGTCACCTTTACTAAAACGTTCAGATTGAAAATCAGTTAGAGTATTTATTTGTTGTACTGCCTCTGATATGTATGGTCGTAATCACAAAGTTGACCTCGTTTTAAGCCCTACTTATAACTCATCGTATAACCCCTAACTAGAAATAAACAGAAATTTATCATCTATTTTGTGTTACCCCTTATTATGACTCTTGAAAACCTGGAACACTAGTCCAAAAGGTCATGTTGGTAATTGACAATTATTTCAAAGTGTATTATGCTTCCCTAATCTAAACATTTCTATGATTATTGGTTCATTACTTTGAAGGAAACTTATCACATTTACGAATAAGACATTGATATTTTTCGATTAAGCTAACATACAACATGATTTCGTCTCTTGTTTGATTGAACAATATAATATCAACTGTAAGAACCAATTATTGGTTTTGGGAACTAACTACTAGTAATATTTTACAACCCCAACTATAACTCACTTTCCTAGAAATGTGGTTGTGTATGTGACTCTTAGTCGACTTCAATAAAAAACTCAGTCTCGACTACGAACATAACTTTAGTTTCGTCCTATTACTTCATCACTAAAGTCACGTTTGATTTAGAATGATATGAATATTAACTTATAATATATAATGATCATTTAGGGTCAGCCTTCCTGCCTAAACTGTCTTTCACTGTTTTTATAAGGTGAACCGCAACGATTAACCAAACTTAGCATTCTCCAGGCACATTTTTTTCTATTCTTTATATAAAATCCTTGTTTTTATATTAAATTTAATACAGCGACAAATACACGTTTCTTAACACTTTTTCAACTAGTTAAGTAGAATACGCACAATAAAACTGGGTAGGAAACTTTATTTCTAATGCTTAATAATAATGCACAGAGCTCAGACGTGTATATACATCATCAGACTCATCTAGATATGAACTTGTTGATGACAACCATGTCCAAGTATGTACTTCTTTTACTTACAAAGGCCATTTCACATGTACATTTACAACATACCTTGCTGTCACCAAATAACATATGATTAATTTATGCTTGCCATGTTTTTCAGCCGTACTCTTTATTACCAATGGAATTCGCTTTCAAAAGTCACCTTACCCAACCCCGACCCGTGTTAATGCGAGTAGACTTTACTCTCACTGTTCAAACCCAAAACAACTAGTGTTTAAACTCAGTGTTTGTTGTTCGATATACGATTGCCTCTATTATGTGAACGATATCTGTATTGTCTAAAACGTTCAACTGAGTTAAATTCTCATTTTTAGGATTTTTTTCGTGTTCTAGCCTAATCAACGACTATAATTGTTCTATTTCGGCCCCCATTCTACATTTTAAAGGGAGTTAATTTGTAACGATTTCTATTTGTTTACGAGTTTCTTAAGTAGGTTTTCTCTCCCTTTGGAAATAGAATCAAGTGAGTCGCTTCAATTTAAAACAATAATTAAAAGATAATGCTGCGTCTTTTGACGTCAGATATGTTATACCTTACAGAGATTTCTACCAATACTCCAAAATTTTCACTTGGTGAGATAAGTTATTTGAATGGCCAAGACTTGATCAATTCAAAATTAGATAAAGGACTAATTATTTTGTGCACTGCGTGGATATATCTGTATATAATCATTTGTACACCCAAACCCGGTTGAACTACAGTTAATTACAAGGGTGTAAGCTAGATTGATTTCGTATACAAACGCTCTTCCATAAAATTAAAGTGTTCAGGTTTCAAAATTTGATGAATCTTACTTTCTGAATTAAATTCCTAATATTGAACAAGATGGATGTTTGATGTAAATCTCAGTTGTCTTTTTTAATCTATGTATTTCTTAACAGATGCATACAAATAAGAAATCTAATGCAAACATACCATCACGTATCATCGGTTCATTGCTTTGTTTACTTATCACCGTAAGCTTCATATTATTCGTATTTTTCTATTTATTCTAAAACTTATATTTCAGTTGTTTGGTGCAGCTTTAACCGGTTTTATAGGTCATATACTTATTGCTTTTGAATATATCAGTGAAATATTTGGAAGATATATATTATTTGGTGGAATTTATGTTATACTAACATGTGGTGTATTCACTGTATTGATTGGTCTGCTTGGGTTTTTCAGTTTCATACATCCAAATCGATGTACATCTATCACGGTAATTAATTTTATACTGATAAAAATAAAAATGTAATATTATTTTCTTTCTAGACTTGTGTTGGTTTAGTTATTCTCATTATTACTACTACTTGCACATCGGTGATTGTTTATATGTATCCTAAAACTGTAAGTTTAATTATAGTTTGGAGCATCTGAATTTTACATAAATTTTATTTTTCATTCTATACCATTTGTGGATTAGAAATTATTTCTACTTTTTTAAATATTTATTTTAATGAAACTTTTATCTTGCGTAGTACGTGCAACTGCATGTAAAAAAAAAGTCAATTTACTGAATGAAAAGTGGAAAACTGACATATAGAAGTCATTATATTATGTGATAATTTCCGGTTGAACCCAAAGACATCTAAATATTTATAATAAAGCATTGAATGGATAAATTTATTAGACGGATACATGCAATTTAGGAAGAGCTACAAGTATATAAACACATAAGTTTTAGTGAGAAAAAAATTAGGAAGATGTGACCGTTTTGAGGTCATACTTTACATGCGAGGGTTGGTGATACTATCTATCTGTCCAAATCGAAGTAGGTAGAGCGGGACTTAAATCTGCTACCTAATATTCGAAAATCAAGCACTCTAATTATTAAACCATTACTCTATACCAACAAGTCTCCATGTTTCACATTAGCACGGTGGCATGAAAATTAACAAGCTAACATGGCAACAACAAAATTAATGAAAGTGGAAATCTCATGAATAAGAGGTTAACTTCAAGTGTAACGATCAAACGTTAAGAAAAAAGAAATTTGCTTGAGTTAACACTGAGATCATGGTGTGAAGGAAGATAAACAATTACTTCAGTTTCTGTATACCTTACTAAACAGAATATACTGCTACGATTTAATAGACATTTTGTGAATACATTATATGTCGTATAATGTCTTTGGAAATTCCTTAGTAAACGGATCATTTTCGAGACTGATAACTTTGAAACACACCTTAAAATGTACGTTGAAATAATTATAAAGTACATCTGTTTCGTCCACATAATTGATTTTTTTAAAATCAACTGTTATTTACATTACCGTCAACCCAAAAATGGTAAATTTCTGTGAATTTTATTAACTTGCATCACTAACTACTTATAAGTAGTCTAGACATTTACGTATAATTTTCATGTCCACTTCGAAATTTCCGCTATCAAATAAACCGCTTATCATAAAAGACATTCTTTGTCCTATAGTCAGTAGTGGAAACTGGCGTGTCTGAAAGAATCCAGCATCAATGCATACAAAAGAAGCACTTTGAAATACGACAACGAGTGAAAGTATCAGATGTGCATCATCAACAGAAAAGAATACCTACGTTGGCTAATAACTAACAATAATAGGAAACTAGAGATTTAAATAGTTTTGCTAATCACTTTGAATAGGTTCTTCAGATAGGACAACCATAATCTTACAGTTTCTCTTGTGCTTTGTTTATCAATCTTTTTTATACAATTCAGACTGGTTAACACAAAACAGAATTCCATGATTTCTAACTGTAAGCTGGATGAATCTCAATAATTTCAGTGGTGAGACAGGTATCACTGATACCCGTAGATGGTGGTTACATAATACAAAAAAATAATGAAGTTAGAAATTCAAGTGGTTATTTGATTGCCTGAAGTTAATGCACAGCTTAATAGTCATGAAGGTTCTAGTTTTGAACTGTTACAACGTATTAGGTATACACTATTGTGGAGCTTCATACGAGCACGAAATAAAAGTCCACTTCTCTTTACTTTTTAATGTTTGTCCAAATAAAGTCACCTCGTGATGTAAGCTATCTATGAATATGAATATTTTTAAATATGATGGGCTGAAGTGAGATTTTATAGCATAGTTAATTTATACCGAAAATCATATCATTGTTCGATTCGTTTGAGTATCCCATTATCCTTTTCAGAATCTTATCTACACAACAATTCAAACTAGTAAATTGTTTGCAATTGTTTAACAAATATCACATGTAAGGTAAATCAGTCTATACAAATTATTATTTTGACTGGTATTGAGATTATTTTGGCAGACATTTTATCCATTTAATTTTTTCCCTGGTTCTGTACAGATGACAAATTTGATATATTACCGAATGATCAAAACATTTCCAAATTACGGCCAAAATATGCAAATAACTAATGCATGGGATATTATGCAAAGTAATCTAAGGTGTTGTGCTATACATAACCGAGGTTGGTCAGATTATAATCAAACTGTTTGGTACAAATTAACCAACGCTGATATACATCTTCATGACGAACTTATACCACGTGTGTATTTGTTTTCCTTTTTTGGAGTAAATTAACACTTTCTTTGTGTTTGAAACATTCATAATCATCTCTTGCCAAATTAATACACTTTAAACTACTGTATTTAATATCCAGAGGTTTGGTTTTTACTCACTGTGTAATTCATTTAGTCGTTGTAATTCAGTTCCGAACTGCTTGTCGCCGAACAAGTGCAACTCGTGAGATTGTATAACAAGTGATATCACAAAACATGTATACACAACAAATGTGACCTTATTGTTCACGAAGCTGTGATAGTATCATAATCCAACACCTAGCTTGTTAGTGCTAAGAATTATCCCAAAAAATTCAACCTTTTATATTTATTTTTAAACGAAATTAGCATTATAACAGAAAAATAACTGAATAATTTACTCTGCATTGAACCGTTTTGAGGATTTTGATTAAAAAAAAGAATATGTGATACTTGAGTCCTCAAATCAAAACACGGGATTTGTCTCAAAAGAAGTGGGACTTTAAGTAAAAAGGCAACATAACTAATAAGGTTTTACAAAATTAAAATAATGAGTTGTCTATGGAGCATTAACAACGCTTTAAGATACAAGCAGCGAGAATGTGCTTCCTTCAAATCAGTTTATAGAAACAATTATTAAAAAGACACAATAAATCAAGGTTGTACCAAGGAGTTGGGTGATATTAGTAATGGCAGTTAACAAACTGAACTGAGAGTTATGCAACAACAACTATGAGAAATACATCAATTTCCAATGAAAAACATAAGAAATGAAGGCGAACTACTAAGAATGGTGAAGGAATATAATTACAGTAATTAAAATGAATCAAACTATAAGAATATATGTAGATGCACAATACAATTAAAGCACATCAAAAAGTCAATTCATCAATTGTAACTTAAGATGCATTAGAGGTGTAGTTGATAAATGAACTTACCAATTATTGTGCTACAAGTCAATCGTCTTGGCTCCTTTTAACCTTGTATGACTAAGTTTTGTTTATTCCCTAATCACAATCGTAAATGTTTGTCATAAACGATATTAAGTTTTGTGGAATCCTTTTTTATATCCTCTAGTTACTGTTCAGTACGTTATTTATGCCGCTCTTTTCCCCTCCTTTCTAGACTATTAATTTCTGTTTTTGTGCATAATAATAATGTTAATTTTTATCTTAAAAGCACATAAAGCTTATCAAACCAAATAGTTTACTTATTGTGACTTTGACCACACTAAGACTCTGTGTCCGACAGCCTGGGGACTAACTTAAGATTCTACCTGTCGTTAACTATATGCTACAATCCGTATAATGTGAACGTAAAAATTATTCACTTCATTTTTTGTATTGGTTGTATGAGTCTTCTCATTGATGTTTAGGATTGCAATTGATTAGTCTCTTATTGGCGTTAGTGTATTTCGTGCGGATTGCCCTAATATTACCTTAAGACACAAACGTAATAAGCAAAGATGGATGATGACTAGCAGTGGATTCCAGGACGCCTGTTCCGTCCCATTTGGGATTCATCGGCTGGATGTGCATGTATTCCAGAGTTGATATTCACTGCGGGACTCGAACCGAGTACCGTTCGATTCAAACATCGCGTTATCCATCTAACTACCGAATCCAGATAGTCATTAAGCTTATGCGATGCGGTGAAGTTTATAAGAATTATTTGTTTAAACTGGCTTATAAAGGTGAATTTGGTTTATCTTGTTGATTTGACATGTACAACATACTAATTCTTCCTTGTTTAATCTGCTCACAGTTCAATATTTCAACCCAGTAGTCCCCCATTCCATCTCATCTGTTAATTACTTTAGTACATGTTTACAAACTGTGAATACATAAAACTATTCTGTTTACCTTTAATATGTTAAGTCAATCTCCCCTTTTCTCAAATGGTGCTCAGTTTTATTTATTCATCTTTGAATGATTGTTTACTTATAAAGAATTTACCCCCCTTCAAAAAAAGACACTAAATTTAATTATCAATAAGTTAGTGTTTAGTCTTATTAAGAATTTTTTCTCTTAATCTGGTATATTTATAATCACTTTCACTTTTTACAATAGAATCTAGTTGATTTATTATACACAATCCTTATACTTGTATCAGGGATAATCTTAAATGTTCTTGTTGCCATGAGAAGCAACAATTTAATCCCTAAAATATAATTCAATTGAATTTGTTTGCTTACCTATATAAATAATCATTATTATTACTACTTCATTTAGGTGCTTTAAAGTAGGTAAGTTTAAATGCTTAGAATATTCTATTATTCAATATGCTTCAGTGTTGAATAAGTGTCATCTAAGATAATTAATCAAATTCAGAGCATTGATTTTCATATTACAGGTGAAATATTCACCAAATTAGAAATTCGTATATATTATGATTCTATCCCAAGAAAACTACTCACAAATCTATAATATCGAATAAAAATTATATCCATGAAATGATTTTCATAAAATCCACTATATTAAGCTTTTGTATTCCAAACAATATGAATCTGTATCAGTTGAACTTAGATAAATCGGATAAAGCATAAATCATTTGATCAAAACTGTTAATTAATGATATTTATCAGTATGAAGTTATGAAGCCTATTAAAATTTACTGAGATGACAATTCAAATTTAAGTTGAACATTTATTCACAACTTTGAAGTACTGAATAGCCATTTCTTCCTAGTACAGGACTCCTTAGCAGTGCGCATCCACGACCTCGAACGTGGAACTTGAAGCCGGGATCTTCGATTTCGCAGACAGACGCTTAACCTGTAGTCAGTCAGTCAGTATCAACGTAGAACTTCGTACGTACGTACATCAGTTCGAGTTGCCACACCACATTAGCACAGAGATGCAGTTGTCCATTCAAATCCCATAGTGGTAGAGGTAGCAAGAGTATAAGCAGTAATCGGGAAGATTAGGGTTTGGAGATGTTATTTATAGAGTATAATCCAGTGAAATAAATTTGGAAAGAGGAAAAAAGGGACATGAAGAATTCAGAAGATTAGAATTTGAGAGAACACAGAGAGTGGATGCACCTGCGCCATTGCAAACGATTTTGAGCCATGTCATTCAGGGTCTCTAACCATCGGTTGCTATCATCTCGCGGTCCCCAACCAGGTAGTCTACACCTACCAACATGACTCAGTTCACTTGTCAGTGACTTCATGGACTTGTGCCATGTTTTGGTTTGGCCGCCCCTAGCTTTCTTCCAACCTACTCCTATACCACTGAACATAGCACGTCGAGGCAGTCGGTCGTTGGGCATACGTAACACGTGTCCCAGCCATCTCAACTGATGAAGTTTCACTACGTCATCAATTGATTTGCCATCCTTACCTAGTACCCGTTTTCTAACAACTGTGTTACTTAATCGATGGTCCCATGATATACGAGCAATGTTTCGAAGACACCTATGATCAAATACTAGTAGCCTACGGATATCCTCTACTCTTACCGGCCATGTTTCACTGCCATAAAGTAGGACGGAACGAACTGCTGCACAGTAAACACGTCCTTTGGTTGATAGACGGATATCTCGCCTACGCCATAAATGACGCAAGTTGGCAAAAGCTAGTCGAGCCTTCTGTATCCGTGCTGAGATTTCGTCACACACCAGACCACAAGGGCTGATCAGACTTCCAAGATAAGTGAAGCGGTCGACACACTCAACTACTTCACTCCCTATCACTAGTTCGGGTGTCGATGTAACCCAATCCTGAAGCAACATTTTGCATTTCGAGGGAGAGAATCTCATCCCGAACATGCTTGCATTGTTGCTTAGAGTGGTCAGAAGACTCTGCATTTTGTCAGCGTCTTCACCAAATAAAACTATGTCATCAGCATATTCTAAGTCAACAAGTGAACCTCCCGGTAGAAGTTCAACCCCTGGAAATCTAGATGAGGAAAGTGTTATCTCTAGAAGTATGTCCACGACAAAGTTGAACAAGAATGGGGAGAGTGGACAGCCCTGACGAACACCACTTGAGGTAATCAATTCTGATGACAGTTCGCCATAAGCTCTCACTCTACCAGTTGTGTTCGAGTAGAGAGCCTTAACCTGTAGACAACTGATCCACGGTACAAAGGTATACAATTCTAATTTAGAAATGAACATAATGGGACCCCAACTCATTGGTCTAGAGTCTAAGCATCTGGACGCTAAAACTAAGGTCCCGAACTTGATCTATGAATGCAGGGTCACGGAAGCATACTGCTATGAAGTACGACTCTAGAACGAAACCGTCGTCTAGTGCTCCCCAGTTTTTAATGATGGTCTTACTTAGATTTGTTTGTAACCTCAAAAAAACAACGATGCTTTAATAATCAGCTGAAATCAGGTTTTACTCATTTCATATTGCGCATCACTATAGCTTTTGCCTGCATAGATTTTTACAGCTCTATTGTGTGGTGCTTTTATCACAATATAAATATTATAACTGTGTTTGCATAAATATAAAAAGTCACTTGTACCATTAAAATGATATTTAATAAGTTTTCTTTTGTGTGTATGGAAATTTCTATTGATCTTTGTAGGTACAAATCTTTACTATCATTTTGTCCCCGTATCTTGTTGCTTAACTAAAATTGACGGTTTGACTGGATTCCCTTTACAAATTTATCGCAATAAGAAACGTTGTCAAAATTGGCAATACGGTCCACCAACATTCCAAGATGGTCCACATAATGATGCATTATATTATCGAGTAAGTTGACTAAAGTTCTGTATAGGCTATTTCAATGTTTTATTTCGTGATAAAATCGACTATACGAATGAATTACGTATTCTTTAATTACCAATATTACAGTGAAATCGTTTAAATAGATTTGATTGGTTAGAAACATTTTATATTTCATCATGAACTGATCTTGTTTTCTTTTCAGTAAATTCCATTAAAATTAAGGTGCATAGGGTACTACATGCGGGACTGGAACCCAGGATTTTAACCGCGCACGAGCGCTCAAACTCTAGACCACTGGGTCTGTACTCAACAATGTTAATGTGTAACATCAGTCAATCCATGGAATCGTGCGACCGTCTTCCGTTGTGTTCGGTGAGGAACTGCCTAACACCCGACATTGTTGAACTCTACTGACCACAGCTTGTCACTAGAACTCCGAAATTACCTCTCGAAGCTACTCACTAGTAAGCACGTGATGATTATCAGTACAGGGTTGTGGAGATTGTTGTTAAACTTTTGTCCCGTTTGTTCACTTTGACTATGTTGTTTACGTTACGTTCTTAATCCTGTAGAGCCTATTTGAAAAGAACTGATTGATAACTCGATGAATGTATTTATCCATCAACAAACATGCCAATAATGAGGATATTATGTTCTAAATTATTAGAAAATTCAAAAACTCCATTAAAACAAGAAATTCGTTGGTAAGCTAGGAGAAACCTAGTGGCAGCCAAGTCAAAACATGACATCAATCCATTAAGTCAATTGGATAACCAAATTCACAGATGTAGACTACCTGGTTGTGATCCGCGTAATTATCGCAACCAGTGGTTAGAGACTTTGAATTATACGGCTTAAAATCGTTTCCGATGCTACAGATGTATCCTTCGTCTTTCCGAAGATTCTAAGCTTCTAAATTCCTCGCAACTTCCATTACATTGATTTATATGTTTTTTTCTATTGCCACTCAAATTGTTACTACCCTAACTTCTCTGGGATCTACCCTGACAGTTTCACCTCCCTCTGTGGAGGTATGGCAACTTAAGCCGATATACACACGTGCCAGGTTCTACGATGAGACTGACTTCAAATCATTCGGGCGGCTTGCATCAATAATATGGTTTCATGAGTAGTCTACACTTCCCCACAATCCTTATTATAAGGTATTACCGAGCAATCGATATTTCCTTGCATTTTAACTGCTGAAATATAGTTCTTCAAATACAAAAATCCTAAGCCATAACAATATGTTCTTTTTTTAAGGGCTGTTATAACCTACTTGTCGACTATATTAATGCATACGCTGAATATATACTCGGAATGGGATTGACAGCTGTTATTTTATTGGTAAGTGTTTCATAGAATCTGATGTCTAAATCAATGAGTTACTTATCAGCTCCATTTATCTGCACGAACGTGTAATAAAAATTTAATTCAGTCAAAACTTGAATTGATAATTTATTGGTTTACCTGTTCGTAACCTCAATAAATGAGTAAGACTACTTGCATCAGAGACTCAGTTCAGTAATGAAGCGTGATAATTGGTTAGAAAACATATGTAAAGCTATTTATAATATTGACTACATTTACTGAGCTAATATACTTCCTATGGCAAAAATTAAATCAAAATGACAATTTTTCCGAGCCTGAAATATAAACAGAACATGTAGAGTTAATATCCTTATCTGACTAAGTGAGACGATGACATGTTTGTACAATTTTTTTAACAAAACGCTATATATCCTCTGAGAACACTGACAAATTTAAAAAGACTACCAGGTTGCAGATAGGAATTCCGCACTCCCTACGTCGGTTTACGCTGTTGGGCAAGTGCAACTAGCCCTCAAACAAAAAATATTGACCAAAGTCGAGCACACATTTCACCCAATTAGTAAATAACTTTAAACTTGAAGTTTACACTTACACTTAAACTACAGTGATACTGAAGTATGTATGTGGAGAACTTATTAGCAAATAGAGACTAAAGAGCGTGAAAACAAAACCTTTGTTAATTCAAACAATAAATTCAAAAGTCCAACAATATGTTAGTATATAACGTGGTTGGATAGTATTTTAGTAATTAGATTCAAATATTACAATTTTTTTCGAAAATGTTCAAAGTAGAGAGAGATTGAGAGTTGTAGTCTCCGTCCAACAAACTAACTAATAAATACCGGTATTCCAACGTCGTAATAAAAAATATATGTTAACGTGGCTTATTTACCAAGTAGTAGACTTGTATACCTTGAACCAATGTTCATTTAAAGGTTAATCATACTACTCAGTGAGTAAAAGTGAAATAGGTAAGAAGTGAGGTTCGGTCCCGTAACTTCACTAATTGAAATTTGCCAACTTTAATCATTTGAGCCATTCATTTGTAAGAAACCACTTTCCTTCATATCATTTTCTCATAGGTAACCGTATTTCTGTTGCTGCTACGCGCAGAACTTAGGAATAATCCAACTGATCTACAAATATACGACACAAACTTATTAAAAAACTATCAGAATAATCATTATTACGTTAATAATAAGTAACCTGCACAGATTTTCAAAGAATGCCAAATTTTAATGACCCGTCATCAGTTCAATCATTTGACCCTCCATTAAAGTCTCTCAATTTAATTACTACTCGAAAACTCTACACGTCGACTCAATTATCTATGTCAACAGCAACTACCAGGAGTTGGTCGCTGATCCTTTCACATAAAATAAATGTGACTAACACATACCACATGGCTGTCAAGCTTTTTTGAAAATAATTCCTTTTGCATTTCACAGTCCCATACATGACAAATGAATACATACTTTTGTAATCTTTGCTGTATATACTTTCTAACCTGTATAGATCTTTCTCTAACATGTTTGCAATTTTCTTGTATGACTTTGGCAATACATTATGAGATGTAACTGTCTCGGAATAAAAACCAACTGATTACAATAAATACAGACTTATCAATTATTTTAGTTTACATTTTATGCTAGAGTTCCTTTATTAACTTGTAAACTTCAATATTTGTTGTAACAAAGCTAGACAATTTACTAGCTGCTTATCTATTCATTGACGGTACAATAACTCGGGTTGCAGAATTTAACTGTACTATGATTTCGAAAGTAAAACGCGAACCAAGAGTGAGATTGTACCACAAAAATGCAGAGCTGTATGCTCTCAACGAAAGTTGAGTATTTCAAGAAAAATCAAAAAGTAGGAGTTACTAGGAGTTGGGTTGTGCAACCAATGAACTCACTACCTTGAATCTACCACACCTCGTGATAAATCTTCACACCCGCTGAAGTCTCACCCAACTAGTATATATTCAGTATAATTTTATTTGGTATCCGAATTTATTATTATTAGTCGCCACTGTAAAACACTACACATTTGAGAGTATCAGTCAATGAACACCCACGTCCCTGACGAGTACTTTTTTGCTCAGAACCGAAGTATGAACTGATAAAATCACTACTCATAACTTTATTCTGAAAACATTCGCATTTTGCACGTGTTGTATGACGGGTGTATTCGAAGCACCACTCGTAAGTAGTGGGATGACAGCAATTAATGTTGAGGTTAGGAGATTGATAACACTGAATTATAATCGAATGAAGCAATTAGATGATGTACCACTCGTACTAGAACATGATCTCAGGAAACCCACGCTTGTTAACACGAGTGAACTGAAAAATACCCACCAGTTAACACATTTATTGGTTGTAGTCCATGAGAAAAAAGTAGTCGATTTGAATACACGTTTGTTTTGGAATCAAGCTAGCGAATAACTGTGTCCTCTATATTTCGAAAGTGCCTGTTTTGAAGTCAAAGCTAGTAGTATATATATAGCCGTTGATACGTCACAATTACTATTTAATCTTCCTCAACCTTGGGTTCTAATATTATCTCACGCTAGTTATCCCTCTATTTCATCCCGTCTTTTCAAAACATTTCTTCTAGTTCTAGTCGTTGAACCTAATACGAATACTTTCCGACCCATCTTACTATTACTTCACCTTCCTGATGTGGTATATCCTTTACAGACCCACAAGTTCGCTGATTATTACTAACAGAAATAAGCTTGAAGGCCGGTTTATAAATACTCAGCCTACTGATAATTGAAAAATGAGATTGACAACATTCAACACTACGGTGTGAGAGCAAGTGACACTACCGAACATCCCTATACATCACATCCTTATTCACGTCAACAAGAGCTTCTTGCAATTTTAGACTAACCACACCCTTAAGCTCCACTGGCTTCAATGATCAAGTCCATTCTGAACTACATGCTTACAAATTAACATTATATTAGAACCTTTTACCTAGTTGGATCTGCAAGACGATCAAGAAACAACTAGAGACGTTACATTTCCTAAGTTTCGTGTTGCTTCTTTATTTTTGTGGATGTCTGAAAATCGAGTTTTGCTCCTTTGTACTGGCCAGTTTTTACACAGATATTCAAAGACTGACCCAAAATATGCAACTACATATTGTTTGCTACTTGATTCAATATCAATATTACTGAACACCATACTACAAAACCCATATGAGTTAACAAATAAACCGTACAAAAAGATTAACCACCTGCTGGGATATTTGTTTGCATATATGAATAAATACATATGAGACACTACTGGAAAAACACTAAAATAATGTCGCACTCTAGACTAAAAAGATATTGATATATTCATTATTTTTACTCAGTGATACCCTACACGTAGCTAGTCTGCTCTTGAACCTAGCTCGGAACCAACGTGCGCAAACATGATTGGAGAAAATCGTAATGAGTTCTTCTTTCCATTTTCCATCGGTAAAATACAACCATCATAAAAATGCACATTTTATCAGAATTAATCCGGTAACACTCAACCATGTTATATTTGGGTCGATGCACTTTGCAGCACGCCTGAGTTTACCTGCACTTAGCTTCGCCAGCACATCTATCGTCATGAATATAGAATAACTGTCTGGAAATGATGAACAAAGATGAATTCGATGTATGAGATACATGATGGACTACCGCGTGAAATTTCAAATGCAAAATAGAATAACCCGTTAACAAAGACGTATTTACCCTCAATATCCGTAAAACACTTTACTGAGAATATTCACACGCATGTATACATAGGAAGTGACGATAGCTGACTCCGTTAGATAACCATAACATGATAAGCGATGCAATAGTTATTATTCATTTAAACACAAACACTAGTAAAAGGAGGCGCGAAATAGATATGCGCCACATAAATCATTCGATTTATGCGAGGGCTCGGATACAGCCCGGGTGTAGACCGAAGCAAGGACACGGTTGGATCCAGATGCAATACGGACCGACCACCCGACGCTCATAACCTTAGTATTAAAAATTAAAACATAAGCATAGTCATCGTAGCAATGCCCATGAGAAACGGTATGTCCTTCACACAAACAGGGAGAGGACTAATTCACATTAGTAGGAACCAGAAACAATTAAAATTATAGATTGTCGAGTATACCCATATTTACGAGCAGTAGGATGTTCAAATCCCACTATACAATGGCTAAATATTGAATTAAAATTACTGGGTATAATCAGACAGATCTGGATAAATGCTTGTTAATTACACAAACAACGCTGTAAATCGATCACTTATTGTGAGACAACTACACATGTGCCGAGCATGAGCGAGAAAACTATAATGCAAACAGAACACGAAATAGCTTGAATGAATAAATGTCTTCTTGCAGCATCCGAAGATGCTCAACGAGATTTCAGACGGATAAATTTGACAGTAACAGAAAAGTTAATTAAGAGGACAAGCAAATTCCAGTTATGTTGCACTCATGTCAACTAATCGATCCTTGAGAATGCATGATATCCGTGCTTTTTAATAAGACCTGAAAACATCTAATCTAACAGTTTTGGATAAACGTCGCAGCAACTTAAACGGTAGGCGTCAAAATTCTTAATTAAGGAGCTTGTGACAAACCTACTGTTTTTATAAGATATCGGACCTGAACTTGACTATTTACAGTACAAATAAACGCGATGGAGTAACATTGAAAGAAATCGACCCAGATCATTCATGAATTCAAAATACCAGCATCTGAACCGTACTTCATTTATTTTTAAGTGTACTAATCAAATAGCCCAAAGCCCATATCTTCGTCTGATTCGGACTCTTCTTTGACCTCCACCTTTGCTGGCTTGACTTCTTGCGGGGCTTCAGTCTTACTTGATGCTGCCGCAGCAGGTGCAGAAGAGACAACAGCACCGGATGATGGTATGGAGGATAACTTCGTAGATCCTTCAGCAATTAGTTGTGGTATATCTTTGCCAGATATCGAAGACAACAGCTACGAAGTTAACTTATAACTGCTAACTTACTTTTTCGAGTCTCTCAGAATCATGTTCAATGCCAACAGAATTTAGGACAGTTTTGATATCATTTTCAGTAGGTTTCTCCTTACCACCTAACTGACAGAGAAGAAACGCAGCCAAGTAACGCATCACGCCTGAAATTCACTAATTCCGCGAGTAGCTGTTAGCCGGGAAGTAACAAAACAAAGGGTTCAATAATTTGTGAATCCTTATTGTGATACTCATACTGTTAATTCTGGAGTACTAGGTCTGCGTTATGCGCAAGAATACACGGCTTAAAATTGAAACTTTGCTGAACAGTGAGAGGAAACTGCAAGTTTCTTTATATATTTGTTAGGGATATTATGGACAAATTCCATTTATGGTGTATTTTCGAACGGGAAGTTTAGTCCTAAAGTGGTTTGCATTTATCAAACTTTTGCTGTGTTCTTACGCAACAAAAGTACCATATCTGATCAAAAGAATCTATCCTGAGCTATACGTTCGGTAGATTACTTTTTTTAGTTTTACACAATTTAATAGTTCACTGTGGTTTCGCTTCAGCTTACTATCCGTTTTTTTTTCAGTTTTTCACGTAAAGGCTAGTTCAGTTTATCTCATCCGTTTTTATCCATTTTTGTCCGTTTTCAGTGTGTTTTCTAGTGTACTTTTAGCGGTCTTCTGCTTTTGCTAGCATATATAATACAGTTTACTTCAATATAGTCATGAAAAATTCATGTAAATGACCTTGGTGCCGTCTCGCTGTTACATCTGGCATGCAGTGCGATAATTGCGAAAGTTCATTTCATGAAGCGTGCACACATCTCATATCAACTGCTTACAACAGACTCAGCAAGCCAGATCATAAGTGGGTATGTGTCATGTGCAACACGGATGCCATAGTTTTGCTGTGTAACATCATTGTCCTACTGACAGGTCCGCGGAATAGGTTGTCAGCAAACTTGGAAAAAGATAGTCATAAAACGGGTAGGCAAAGACGCGCAATGAAGACGAGAATAGGGATGTCGACAGGTCTACCATCGATGGAGCATGCATTAGCATGAGTAATGACAGGCTGGAACTCAGTACCATCATAACATCGACGGTAATAGACTCCCTCAGCAAGCTTGGGTCTTCCTGCACAGAGTGCTTGTATGTAACAGTGGTTCCCAAAAACTCTGTAGGTGATTAGGCCAACGTTAACAAAGCTAAAAAAGCCAGGTGTCACCGTCTAAGCTGAACATCCCAAGTATTGTAAGGAAATCATTTGGTGACTTTGCCGCACAGTCTACTCCCAAGAATGTCCGTCCGTTATCAAAGAGCCTGGGAATCAGAAAAGCGCTATCTAAACGTCCTCGAAAATTCTCCACGAACCCAACCATAGTTTTCGTATATGTTTTTATTCACACATCCAACTGTTACGCTAATCATACCTAAGCGAACGTTCAGTGCAACTGTCAGTATACGTAAGAACGATGTTATTTAGACTTGACATTGTAACACATCTGAACTATTGTAGTTGTTCTACTTCGATGTCGTACTTCATTTTATGAAGTATTGTTTCCTCATGGCTGTTATTCACCGATGATTCCGGTACATCAATCGGCTGTTCAACTACTCGACGATTTACAACCTGTCCAGTTCAATTGGTGGTCTGACGACAATATCATTCGCGCGAATCATCAGTTTATGCAGTCGAGCGAATCTCCTGCAAACTGAAAACGATATTGTCGCCTCTATCCCAACACTGACAGCGTTTTTCACGGGTATCATTGACATGAGTCCAGAGTGACTCTTGGTTTCTTATGTTCTTTTCGATATTTTTCTGTTCACTAACCGAACAAACACGCAGCATTCACCGTTTATCATCTTTTAGAGACTTCATCGTGCCACCTTTGCTGTCGATTTGTAGCCTTCAACCCTTATTGACTGTAACAGCAGTCATCGACTTTTCAAACTGTGACTACAAGTTGGTCAATAGCTTCGCACAACGAAATCACGACCACTCTTCACTGTTATACTTCTGTACTTACGGTTAGTCTGTTAGATATAGATATAACTAGAATTTGACACTAATTAATAGCTGTCAACGACACTGTCCGACTTACAACTTTAAACTAATGACAGTACAAATATGGATATCGATTGATAATACACTTATCCTACTATCGCTATAGCATCATTACTCTTGCGGCAGACTTAACGTTTGTCATCGGAGGAACTGAATTACTTGTCAACGCTATATATTTCAGCGCGACTTGATAGAACAATAAAACGTTTTGTTCTTTTCATTATTTCTATGGTTAATCGCTTTACGTTTAACCAACGTCCTACTAACACATTAGGACTCGCTGTTTCCCGACCAGTTTCTGCCGCCTCCTTTCCATTTGTTTTACAGATAAGCAATACCTGGAGGATTTATAATATTCGTTTGGCACTCTTCGGCGCGCGACTGCTCCCAACATGTTTGGTACCGATTCAAACGGCCGCTGAATCTGGTGGGGGAGTATTGTAGGGCCAGTGAAATGTCACTGAGCCCTAGCCAAATCATCCGGGAGTTGGATCACTGAATGCCGAACAGATCATCGCTCCCTGCCAAGGTCATGTACAAGCAACGCGCATTAGTTAATCATACGCCATGGACTGGCCCATGCGGTAGTGGTCTTACTTTCGCTTGTATCTACTTTAACTAATATATTTCTGTAATAACGTCCTTTGTGTTGTACAGTCTTCAAAGCATCTATAGTACCCTGTTACATCAATGGGGGTAGTCCACGTAAGGTGCTGACCACGAGGTGTGACTTCGACGTTAGTTGGTTCGTCACACTATTCACGTCTAACTCGAGTCGGCCTCCAATCATTTCGACATAGATCATCTACGTTGGTGATCTACAGTCCTAATGTATTTTGAATTTCTCAAACTTTTGCTTGGGTCTTCCAGCACAGAGTGCTTGTATGTAACAGTGGTTCCCAAAAACTCTGTAGGCGATTAGACCAACGTTAACAAAGCTAAAAAAGCCAGGTGTCACCGTCTAAGCTGAACATCCCAAGTATTGTAAGGAAATCATTTGGTGACTTTGCCGCACAGTCTACTCCCAAGAATGTCCGTCCGTTATCAAAGAGCCTGGGAATCAGAAAAGCGCTTCAACCTCCAAACAACAGGGTGCTGAACCTGAACGCACCGGAAAACCTGGGAAAATAATAACGGTTCGTGATGACTCTCTCATAATCATAACCTCAAAGGCAATCCTGACCTTTCTCTTAGTTTGCATGACAAAAATGACGGGATGCTCCGAAGAGAATTAAACAAGAAGCTTAAACTTCCTAGAATGGAGTCTTTGACTGTCACACGGATCACTCGGGGAAAGGACTCTAAGCATCAAAATCACCCGAGGCTACTTTGTGTAACACTTAAGAATGCTACCGACTTACAGTATGTCCCGTTAGCTAGTCATTTACTAAAATCCGATGGCAACGTAAGAATACTGCCCGACATACCGTATTCTGAGCGCAATCTCAACCGGAACATCTCTAAATAACGTCGTGAGAAGTTTTTCTGCGGAAGAAATTTAACGGTGCAAGGTGTACCGGGAAACACCGACCCTAGTCAAACAAACTCTGATATTGAGGAATGGAATTTCATCAAGCAATTCCTGAGGCTCAAAAACATACTGACTCAACATGTGACGAGACTAGCCAAAAGGACGGAGATTCTAAAACCCGGCTAATGAAGACAACTTTTCCATCCTTCGATGTGGCGGCTGCAACTCTGGAAGCATTTCGTGCCAACAGACGTCGGTAGCCAGCTGAAATCCACATGCACCCGGATAGGCCTTATGAAGCTAGGACCAAGCACAAAGACAAGTTGGAGCTGACCATTCCACTTTTGGACTCTCTCGATGACAAAATAAACGTGTAAAGGACATGGACTACCAACTCGGCAAGCACTATATAGTTGGGCTACCTGTTCATTCACATAAGGTTCATGCATTTCAAATTGAAAGCGTGTACTAGCTATAAATGAACGCCGCGAGTCTTCCAAATGAAATGGATGAGCTACGTGAAATTAGCAATGCCAATAATTCTCATCTGATAGGAGTATCTGAAACTTGGATATCCTCTCAGTTTACATACCGTGAGCTAGCAATACCTGGGATGTTTTGTTTTAGCAACGACAGAAAAACAGGAATTGGGGGTGGATTAGCCTTATACTTACTTACCTGGAGGTTCACTAAGTTCACAACCAACAGTTTAACAATCTTGATGAAGCCGTATGGTGCTCTGTAAGATTGTTTACTACTTCGAGGTGTCTAGTCGGAGTCATATATAGGAAGCCCACTGCCGACATCGAGTATAACAGTCGTATGCCGGAAAGGACTATCCCACTCTACTCGTCTCGGTTTCATCCATATCCTAATTCTAAGGGACTTCAATCTCCCTAGAGTCAACTTCACGGAACATGTGTATAATGGAGGTGAAAACTCAACTGAAGCTCGGTTATTCAACCTCGTTGAGGACTAGGGATTATACGAAAATGTGAAGTCGGCAACTCGTTGGAGAAACAGTCAGACACCATCGCGCTTAGACTTTGTATTTACAAACGAAGAATTCCTAGTTGACAACCTCTCAATCCTGGCTCCCCCGGGAAAAAGCGATCACACCGTTATGGCTTTCAGTTTCGTCAACAACACTGAGCTAAGATATCCCACCAACAACTTGCGCTCAAATTTCAAACGGTTGAATTTGTCAGCTCTACAGGACTATCTACAACAGGTGGATTGGGATGTTCACCCTCAACTCGATGTGGATGCTCATTGGGACTTCTTACTGCATACGTTCATATGTGCTACAAATCATTCAGTTCCTCAAACGGTCCCCCATAGCTATCAGCAACCCACAATCATCAAGAACCGCACTCTTCGCCTGCTAAGCCGCAAACGGCACTGTCGGGCAGAGCACAAACGAACTGACAACAACGGAGCGTACAGGCAATACAAACATATAAGAAACATATGCACAAAGGCAATAAGAGAAGACAGAATTCATTACCAAATAAAGCTTACGGATAAATTTGTCTCTAATCCGAAGAGCTTGTTCCGTTTTGCAGCCTCTCTTCGTCAAGTCAAAACTGGAGTTTTTTAACTGCTAGG